GAATATTATTAATTTACATGAATTTAAGTATTAGGCAAACATAATCAATAGAACTAATCATTTGTACATTTGGCGGCTCCCAATACTTCAATTTAACACATTGGTTTTCGAAAAAGTAGAGTATGTTTGCATTAATGGTTGAAAATATTAAGTTCTTTCGACGAAGAGTATCAGGAGTTCATAAGTATCAGTACGTAGTCGAGCTCCGCTTATTGTACGGCATTAGCAGAAACGAACAACATACGGATCAATGTATGAGAGTGAAATGACAACATCACTGAAACCGTAGCGCATGGAAAATAACACAGAAGAAATACAACAAACAAACATTGCAAAATTGCAACGCATCGGAGAAAGTGAGAGAATCTGTGCTGTTCGCACAATAGCAAATATTCATAACACGTTGACACCGACTCAGTGATGTCAGCAATACAAATCAATTGTTTTAATTTGCGTTGGTATTGGTTTTCTTCATTCAACTGTCCTGATCAACACCTTCCTTTTCATTCATAATTAATTTTATTCGACGAATATGCTTCATAACGGCGTCACCACTTCTAGTAACGCGTGAAAAAAATTCAAAATTATTCCCATTTTCGCTGCTACTACTGTCACTGTCATCAACTAAAAAAAGTAATAAAGAAAAAAGTAATAAAGAAATTTACATTAGAAAAGTCAATCAAATGTCTAAATTACTTGTTGTCGGTTCAGTCCGTTTCTTTACAGTAGACTTGGAAGTGGCTCGGGTTTCGCGACGATTGTCAACAGAAGATGGAAGGGCAGATGATTTTGTTCTACGAGATCTCGTTACTGTTGTTGTTGCCTCTGAATCATTCTCGCTTTCAATTCCAGACAACTCAATGTTCGTTGTAGTTTGACGAGCAGCTCTACGAGTGATTCGACGCTCTGGTGGTGCTATATGAAAGAATGAAACAATTAAAAATGGTTCATATTCAGACAATATTTAAGAGCTACGTCGAATTGAAATAAAAAATGTAATTTAATAAATTATCACCTGATTCAATTTGACCTCGAGTCCGTTTCTTGGCAATGTACTTGGAAGTGGCTCGGGTTTCGCGACGATTGTCAACAGAAGATGGAAGGGCAGATGATTTTGTTCTACGAGATCTCGTTACTGTTGTTGTTGCCTCTGAATCATTCTCGATATCAGACTCATCGGAATTAGAATCAACATTCAATGTTTCCTTGTAAATAACATCATTTTCATTTCCATATACTTCGGTATCGGTTGTCATATCAACATCTTCCACGTCAATCTCATTATCTTCATATAATGCCTTATTTTTAACATTTGCGAGAGAATTCAATAACATTTTAGGGTTATCTTTGTGATTTCGTTGAAGTTTGGCAATTAATCTTGGCAATTAATCTAGTATCTTTTTGTTGTGTTCCATTGATGTAATTTTGCAGCTGAGTACTGGTTGATGCTTCCAGTTTTTGCAAAGTTTCACAAAATAAATAAAAACCACCATGTGTTTTGAAAAGTTTGTTCATTTTGCCATTGATTGCCTCGGCGGCGGCTGTGGTACGAATTCCGCGCAGAAAAACACAAAAATGATACGGCGTTACAATTCTCATCCACTCATTATTAAAATAATCAATGAATGGAGCGAATAAATTCTTATCTAATCTAAGGGCTTCCATAGATAAACCCTTGAAAGTACTTGCAATATGATGCATTGGCAATAACGCGAGGCACTGAAAACGTCGAAATATGTTTTTATACTTTTCATCACATTTGACTTTTTGGAACAAATCTGGCATTTTTGCCAACTTTCTTCGAAGACTTTGGCACATATGGAACCAGCAGCCTAATATTGGCATCTCACTATCGATCGATTTAAGGACATTTATCAGGGCCTTTCTCATGGCTTTTTCGAAGTCAATAATGATTGCTTCACCACGAAGTGGTATCAATTTTTCCGTAATATATTTGAAAACACTTTCGTATGCTTCGATAGTTCGACGTGACATCAAAATATAAGCTAGTGGAAATGACTGCAAAAGTTCAAAAAATTGTAACGAGATCTGTAGTTTTTTGGTCACATTACACTTACTTTATGTCCAAAACTAATGTGAAGAATTAGGACCTGTTGCCATACACCATCAGGTGTAATTCTAAATGTACCGTCTAATATGAAAAATCGTTCTGTCTCAATGGTGTTCTCTAAAATTAACTCAATCGACTTTGAAGATGCAAATATACAGTTTTCAAAAGTATACGAAATGATGACGTCATGGAAGAATGGCCCATGTTCGGCTAACAAGGAAAATCCATATTGCTCCAACACGTGAGGTTTTTCAAACTCTGATAGTATTTCCAAACCATTTTTTGGCGATTTTCCATATCTTTGTCTACGAATATTGCTCAGAGTTTTTCTGAACTCGTCAAAAACTTTGGGGTATGGCATTCCTTCGCACAACGCATCGGTTTGCCATCTGAAAATAAAAATGATCAGTAATTTCGAATATTTAATTTACGAGATCTCGTTCGGTTCTAATGTTCAATTGAACAAAAGCAAAGTATACTACTTACTCAGCTATAACCTCCATGTATATATCATATGGTAACATAGATGCAGGTGCTGTTCTGGCTCGTTCCTTCATTTTATTATCACAGTACATGTATTTATATTCCTGATATTGGGAGCCATGCGATGGGAGGTGGTTTGTTTCACCGTCTCTAAAAGCAGAATGATCCTCCCTAACGAAAACTCTCGCTGGGCAGCCTTTTATCCGACAGGTGTACGCTTTGAGCTTCGTTTTCTTCGAATAAGAATTTTCGTAATAAAGCTGATTCTCTTCATATGCCCACATTAACTGTGAATTGACACGAAGCCCTGGTATAATTTCGTATTTCACATTAATCAAACCAGTCTCTTCATCTTCTGAAGTTGTCATAGCGTTTTCCATTTCTCGTAGAAGTTCCGTTGAAAATATATCACTCATTTTGACCTTTTTTCCTTAAATATAAATAATAAATTAACCAAATATTGACTTATTCCCTGTATATATTAAACGAGATCTCGACAGAAACAATGAATTGCACAACAAAAATTGAAGAAAAATAATGGTTATGTCAGCAAAAATGTCGCTAGTATATAAACTATGATATCTAATACCGTGTGTCGACATCTATGTCTATTTTCACCTCATTGAACTAATGTTTTCGCTGCTTAGAAATGTGAAAAGTAAAAAGCGCACAATGAATCATTTTTGCTCATCTTCATTACCTGAATACGATACATAACCCGACAACTACCATAATATTATATAGCAAACAGTTTTTTTTCTTCGAGTTTTGACTTTTTCACGTTTTCAAAATGGATTATTCGAAATTAACAGTAAGTTATGGTCAATAATTTTTCGTTTCCGAACGTTCCATTTAAAAAATGTATGGTATTTTGTAGGTTGTTCAACTGAGAGAGTTACTGAAAAGTCGTTCGTTGTCAAGACAAGGGAAAAAATCTGATTTAATCCACAGACTTGTACAGAATGATCTCAAACTAAAATACAACATCAAAAATTGTAAAGTAATTTTAGAAAGAATCGACGTAAAAAATTTCGTTCAATACGTTCCACTTCAACGAGAAATGAAACAAACCGACAAAGGTGTGAAACACAAACAAGGCGAATCAGTGAGCAATCCGACCCTCTCCAAGTCTACTGATATCACAAACAAATCAGAGGTCGTAGTCGAGAGAGAACGAGCTGTTGCAATGGGTCGTGTTACCCGTTCGAAGACCGCTGTCAACAAAAAAAATCCAGATCTCGTTAGTATAGACTTCAACGGTTCAAAAGTAACTGAAAAAAGGAAACATTCTGATCTTGATTCTGAAACTATGATGAATACACCAAAAAAACCTCGCCTTGAGCCGGTTAAGCCATCCACTGAGAAGAAGAAACCAAGAAAACTTGTATCGAACATACTTAGTCTAAGGCCTTCATTAAAAAAATACGAAATGGTGTGGGCGCACATCAAAGGGTTCTCCAACTGGCCTGGTATAATTGAAACAGAAACAAAGACCGGAAAGTATGTCATCCATTTTTTCGGAGACTACACGAGATCTGAGGTGACGAAAGGCAAAATAATGCACTTAATGGAAGGTTTTAATCACTTTGCAACGGTCCAAAAACCAACAATGGGTCTTACCAAGGCAATCAGAGAGGCGCAATTATTTATCTTAGACAATGATCGATCCACCTGTCCAATTTGCGATATGTTAAAAATGAAATCCGCAATGGCAAATATCAAAGCATTGACCAGCAAATAAAACTAAACGAGATTTCAATAGAATTCAATTAATAATAAAAAAAAACAACAGATAAATAAATAGAATGCATTTCTTATTTCAAAAAGAATTTCATAACTTCTATAAAACGTCAACCAAACAATTTCCAAATGTGTTTTACCTTTTCTTCGTACACAAAAACATCACAATTTTCGGTTTCGCAACACAAATGCAGACATTCCACTTTGGTCAAAGCGTCGGCACTCTCCAAAAATTTCCCACCCGATTTCTTCGATTCTTCCGTTTTAATAATCATGCCATTTTTTATGTCGAACTTCCCAAAAAATCGATATCAATACACACATTTTGATAGTCGGCGTAGCAGCTTGCAATGATTTGTTCTGGGTCACTCAATCGTTCACATTGATATGATTTGGAAATGCCATTCTGTGCGATCCATCTGCAAATAATGAGTAACAAAGAATCACATCGTCTTTATTTGATTTATTCGTAAACTTATCTGAGATTGAGATGGACCACCACACTGTATGAAACTCAGTATGTTTGCTGCGAATTTTTTCTGTTGGCATGAAAAAACTTTCTTCTTAAATGTAAACAATCACATTGCTTTTCGTTTTAGCTCCATAGAAAAAAACTAATTTGTTTTGACGTGATTTCACCAAAGTGTCACAATCGAAATGTCACAATCGAAGTGTCCCTATCAGTAAAACGAATGAACTGGAATAAATGGAAGGTACGGTGACAAGTGAAAGTGTGAACACACTTTAGTTTACTTCCAGTGGAAATTTGACAGATCCAGTTCAGAACACATGTATTCTGTTGTTTGTTTGGTGTACACATCAAGAAGTGTATCTGTCAATGTTAACAATCGCTTTTTTGTTTCACAAAGTTTTTGAATCCTTATAGAAATCCGATTTCTTTTTGTATAGAATTAGATCTCGTTGAAATGTCTGTTGTTTCGGTTGAAACAGTCATTCCGTTGCGTTATAGCGACGATAAAAATATTATCACGTGTGGCCGTGACAATGTATTGCAACAAGTGGATTTCGTGTCTGAACAGCTGGCGCAGGACGTCAAAGACAGCATCGATCAAACAGAGCTGGTGATAAACGAGATCTATGCGTTAAAACGGCGTAACAAACCATGGGTTCGGGCTATGGTGAAGTTCATTCGTAAAATCGATGGTGTGCCCGTACTTCAACTTCTGGATGTGAAAGGGCTGGTAGATTTCGATACGACAAACATGAATGCTCGGAAGATTGCAAGTCATTCCTTACGAAAACTTGAACACGGCGAAATAAAAATGTTCGTGTACGCGATCGGTTCATACGATATTGATGATGAATTCAAATTGATCTTTGATCAAATTTTGAAAAACAAAAAAGTCACCGCTGTCATTACCATCATTGAAAGGAAGAACAACATATTAAACGAATGTTATGTTGGCGACTTGTTATATACATCTAAGGGTCGGCTCTTTTCATTCAGAGAGCTTTTAATAAAAGAACGCATATCGTATCCGTCACGCCCAAAAGGCCACATCAATAAACTGATTTTTAGAAAGCGCGCCGATTGTTTGGCTGAAAAAAATGGTGGTACCGCATTGACATCCAAAGTGCAAGGGGGCGAAGATCCGATTGAAATTTTGATTTGTGGAAGATTCAATATATACGAGATATTGGGAGAAGGCTCTGTAAGTTTTCATGTTTTTGCTAAATGAATATTTTTCCATATTAAAGATCTCGTTTTAATTACTTAGTACGGCGTAGTTGCACGTGGCCGCGATACAATCAGTGGTATGGTCATCGCAATGAAAATATTCAAGACCACTTTGTTTGGATTCGAAGAAAAACGCAAAGAGAATCTGGAGGAGGCCGAAATCATTAGAAAACTTGATCACGGCAACGTGATTAAGTTGATTGATGTGATCGATGACGAAATGGGAGTGTTTTTGATATTTCCACTGATGAATGGTACATTGCACGACACAATTTATGCAAAGGATTTCAAATGCACTTCTAAACGAGTCAAAGAAGTGGCAACTATGATTTTGAATGGCCTGGTTCATATGAATCAGAAGAAGATAATGCACCGAGACCTCAAACCTTCAAATATTTTGGTCGATGAACATGATAACCTGAAAATATCTGACTTTGGATTAGCAACAAACTACAGAGAAAAACAGTTTTTCATGGATGTTTGTGGAACATACGCATACATGGCTCCAGAAATGTTACTGCGATTTGGTTATCAAAGCATTGTTGATGTATGGGTAAGTGAATGTTCATCCGCATTTAAATCTTTTGTGACATTTTATCATTTCAGTCACTTGGCTGCATATTGGCAGAGTTTCGCCTTAAAGATCAATTGATTCAGCCTGCTAAAGATGAAAAAAAGCAAATTCGAAACATACTCGAAGTCCTCGGTACTCCAGAAGTTAACGAATGGTAATTCAATAGTAAATAATGAAAACATATTTCAAGTCACCTTATTTTTTATCAATTCTTGCAGGAATGTCTGTGACTGGCAGTGGAAGTTTGGAAAGATACAACCAAAACGTACTTTTGAGGAACTTTTCGACGATGAATTCAGCAATTTTCTCAATGGACTCCTGAAGATGAACCCCAAGTCCAGATACTCAGCTCATGAAGCTCTTAAGCATTCATTTTTGCTGTAGAATACCATCAAAATCTCGTTTGATTGAACTCATTGATATCACTTCCAAAACAAACAAAAGTCATTGACTCATCACCTGATATTCACGAGATCTCGTTTACTTGTAGCGTAAAGTATTTATTGTTACATTTGACATGAATTATCTGAAAATAAAGTCTTCAACATTTTTTTCTCTTTATGCAAACAATTTGGAACGACTTTTTTGAAGATCTTGTACTTTCTAATGCATTCAGTCTTCATTGTGTGGCTCCAATTTGCTCAAATTCTATTGCGATTGGTAATTTTATTAACATAGACATTGCTTGGAATACATTGAATTGTATTTTTGGATAGAAATTAGTTTTATGTTCGTAATTATTGTCTAGGGGAATATCACGCTTAAATTATTTCAAATATTTCAAAAAAATCCAATTTATCTCTAAGAATATGTCGTAGGAAATATGGTGGATATTTGTGAATACGGCGGAATATTGTGGATTTTTGTGATTATGAATGATATTTAAATGTATTTATTCGGATTCAATGCAAAAAATCTCAAATATCTCCAAAGTTCACAAAAATCTGATTGATTTATTCGAAATATTCGAGAATAAGTCATACAATTGATGTTTATTTCAAATATCTCAAATATCTCACAAGATTCAGGAGCGTGATATTCCCCTAGATTATGTTATATATTTATTTCTAGAAAATTTTCCATTGTAACTATTTCTAGAAATAATTTCTCAGAAATAATTTTCTCAGAAATATTTTCTTCAGAAATAGGAATAATTTCTAATACCACAGAAATTATTTATCCAGAAATACATAGGCGGCGCCGATGCAACGATTGAAGAGGAAGCCGTTGATATATACTATATATTAGTATATGCAACACAAAACATTCCAGCTGGCAGCCCAATTGTCTTCAATCGTGTTTTCCGAAATGACAATGAATAAAATGTCTTTTTCAAGACAAAAACAGAGTCTACGGACTATAAAAAAAAGTCTACGGACTATAAAAAAAAAGTCTACGGACTATAAAATTTTTTAAAGCGGATTATCAATAATTGATAATGAGGTCACAACCCCTCTATAAACATATGCTGAGTGGAAATTTTTATATGAGCTATTTAATTCTGACTTTATTCTTATTTTTAATCTATTATATCAAAACAGCAGTAGCCACAGATTGTAAAACAATAAACACTTAGAGCTTGATAACATAAACATATATGGGGCGCCCCATATATTTATATAGGGCGCCCCATATATTTAATTATTTCCCTTTCGGGAACTTATTGGGCGCCCCATATATTTATATAGGGCGCCCCATATATTTAATTATTTCCCTTTCGGAAACTTATTAGGCGACCATATTTCTTAATAACTTACGTTATATAAATAAGATTTCTAATAAGAATATTTCTTTTCTAATTTCTTCTTCAAAGCAACAAGATGTCTTGGAATCCATGCAATTCACAAAAGTTTCATAATAAAGAAACAGCATTTACTTGCGAGATTTGTAAAGTAAAATATTTTTACTGTTGTTACGAAAACAGAAGTAAATACAGATTTCTATGTAACGATTGTGTTCAAATTCACAACAAACAATGGGAAGATTATCAAATTGTGAGTTGATTGAATGAAGCAAATTTTGAATTTCGGATTTTTTGATGACAGCAAACACATCGTCGACGTATCTCAACCAAACTTTCGGCAGAATACCTAATGATTTGATTTTTGACTCGAAGTGAGACATGAATGCTTCCGCAATTAATGGTGAAAGTGGGTTGCCCATTGATGTACCTTGTTTGCTGTGATAAAATTCGTTGCGAAACTGAAAGCAATTGTATGCCATACATGTTGTTGCTGTGTCGATGTAAACGTCCAGCTTGTTTTGCGTGACGTTTTTTCGCTGTAGGTGGTTTTTCAGCGATTCGATTGCAATGTCCACGGGCACACTTGGAAAGAGAGCTGTGACGTCGAATGAAACTAAAATTTCGTCTTCTTGTAAATCGATGTTTTTGATTCTGTTTACAAATTCAGTGGAGTTCTCAACTGAATTGCTCTCGAATTTCCCGTATTGCTTCAGTTCCTTCACCAACCATCGTGCAATTTTAACAAACGGTGATTTAATGCCCGATACGATTTTTCTCATTTTTTCTCCTGGTTTGTGTTGTTTGCAGAGTCCGTACATCATAGGTACTTCTTCGTTCGGTACTTTCAAAATGTAGTAAGGAACTTGGAATACTTTCATGATTGAGTCTCTGAGTTTTTTGGCATCTTTGCACATTCGCGATAGTGGAGAAAATCTGGTTTTGATGAAATTCTCTTCAGCTATCGATTCAATCATCCGTCGATCATAATCTTCCTTCTTCAGTATTACGATTTTGTTTCCTTTGGTGTAGAACACATTTCTTTTCCGCAGACTGTTCAAAGCGTTGTTCCATTTGTTGTTGTTGTTCGTTGTGTTGATGGATTTTAACACCTCGTCGGCTTTTTTCCTAATTCGCGCTTTGATGCCAAACGGTTTGTAGTGAATGGCTGACTCAATATCGACGATAGCATCATTGATTTGAATTTCATCTGGCGCTACTGAAAAATTCAGTCCTCTGTTGAGTAACTCAAGTTCTTCTTCGGAAAATTGCTCATCGGACAGATTGCACTCAGACTCAATAAAACTCAGACTCAATCATGAAAGTATTCCAAGTTCCTTACTACATTTTGAAAGTACCGAACGAAGAAGTACCTATGATGTACGGACTCTGCAAACAACACAAACCAGGAGAAAAAATGAGAAAAATCGTATCGGGCATTAAATCACCGTTTGTTAAAATTGCACGATGGTTGGTGAAGGAACTGAAGCAATACGGGAAATTCGAGAGTAATTCAGTTGAGAACTCCACTGAATTTGTAAACAGAATCAAAAACATCGATTTACAAGAAGACGAAATTTTAGTTTCATTCGACGTCACAGCTCTCTTTCCAAGTGTGCCCGTGGACATTGCAATCGAATCGCTGAAAAACCACCTACAGCGAAAAAACGTCACGCAAAACAAGCTGGACGTTTACATCGACACAGCAACAACATGTATGGCATACAATTGCTTTCAGTTTCGCAACGAATTTTATCACAGCAAACAAGGTACATCAATGGGCAACCCACTTTCACCATTAATTGCAGAAGCATTCATGTCTCACTTCGAGTCAAAAATCAAATCATTAGGTATTCTGCCGAAAGTTTGGTTGAGATACGTCGACGATGTGTTTGCTGTCATCAAAAAATCCGAAATTCAAAATTTGCTTCATTCAATCAACTCACAATTTGAAACGGTCAAATTCACCAAAGAAGAAGAAAATCCAGACAACCGTTCACTGAATTTTCTGGATTTAACCATCACACGCACACTTGAGAACAAACTTGAATTCGCTGTATATCGCAAACCAACATCAACCGACCGATACATAACAGCTGATTCTCACTGCTCTCAACAACACAAACTTGCCGCCTTCCATTCGATGATTCATCGTATGTGTGTGTTACCGTTATCGTTAAGCAATTTCCAGAAAGAATACAATTTCATACTGAAATTAGCTGAAACAAACGGCTACAAAAAATCCATGATCGAAAAATTAGTCAAAAAACATTCTGACAAAATCTATCGAGCGAATATGTCAACGCTATTCAGCCAAAGCCGAAATTCGATCAAGGAAAACACAACATACGTAGCGTTCAACTATGTACCGAAAATCAGCAACAAACTCGTTCACACATTTGAAAAAGATGGAATGAGATTAGTGTACAGCAATAACAACAAGCTGTCAAAATTGCTCGGCACTACAAAAGACGCGATACCAATAAAACAAAAGACCGGCATTTATTGTATTACGTGCAAAATATGCAATAAACAATACATCGGAGAAACAACGAGAGCGCTAGGCACCAGGTTCAAAGAGCACGAATACTGCGTTAAGCACAAACACATGCAATCTTCAGGAGCCAAACACGTCTACGATATCAATTTCGACGCACCGCATCAAATCGGCTCTTTCGAAGAGAGCTGCACACTCTTGAAGAATGTCACCGACTTCAGAAAAATTGATGCCTACGAGTCGTTATACATACACAAACATAAGCAACACCTCATGAACGCAGACGACGTCGGCAACATTGAATCTCACTTGTTCAAATTCGCAAAATAGCTAATTTCTTTGTATTTGTTTTGTTTTGTTTTTACTTCGATCTCTCTCTTACTTTCTTCTCTTCACATCAAAATGAATATTGTAAACTGTTTATCTCACCTCACCAATACTCTTACATGTAAACGAAATAATGTTTTGTATTGATTTTATTTAGTCATTTAATCGCCTTGCTGATGATGAGATGTCACACGTCTCGAAATGCATTCGATAACGTTTTTTGAAATTAAAAAGTAAACGAATTTAGTTAAAACCAAAGACTTTTATTTTTTATTTCACTGAACATGACTCCTTTGTAGTCAATAAAGAGCCGCGATGTGATAAACATTTTCAATTTTATGCTCATATTTTTTATTCAATTCAAACTAGTGGCAGTAACGACAAATAAGTGCATAGTATCTCGAAACGCTAATCAAATTTTTATTATCAAATGTTATTTAAAATTTACATTACTTTTTTTTTTTTGTATAGTACTCTTTTACCCTTTAGTATAAATAATGGTTGAGATAAATTCTATGCGCATATTATATATTTAATTTAAAGGAGTTACATTAATGAAGAATAACGTATAATAAAACAATGGTTTAGTTAAA